CTCTGCTTCTTTTTTTTCTAAAGCTTTCAGGTATGCCATTAAGTCCCCAATGTATGCTTTCTCTGTTTTCTTTAAGTGGGCACTTAGTGCTATGAACTTTCCTCTTAGCACTGCTTTCATCGTGTCCCATAGGTTTGAGTATGTTGTCTCTTTATTTTCATTAAATTCAAGGAAGACTTTAATTTCTTTCTTAATTTCTTCCTTGACCCAGGTGTGGTTCAGTAGTTGACTGTTCAGTTTCCATGAGTTTGTCGGCTTTCTGGGGGTAGCATAGTTGTTGCCTTCTAACTTTAAACCGTGGTGATCTGATAAGACACAGGTGGACACTGATATTCTTTTGTATCTGTGGAGGTTTCCTTTATTTCCGAGTATATGGTCAATTTTTGAGAAGGTTCCATGAGCTGCAGAGAAGAAGGTATATTCTTTCCTATTTGGGTGGCTCTCAAAGTCGTATCTATAAGGTAGTGTTTTTTTTTTTTTTTTTTTTTTTTTTTTTTTTTTTACAAGTAGCACCGGCAAGTGTCAAGACTAATTTTGGCCCTCTCATCACCACCATCGTCCAAACTGCCCGTCCCTTTGTCATTATCCTCCTCAGATGCTCTATAATAATAAATTCTCCAAGTTCGTGATTGAAAGGCGTTGTAAATATTTTACACAAAAGTCCTAAGACTGTATTTTTTTTTCTTGAGATGTTGAGAAAATTCAAAGCCATTTTGTTTTAATTATAGAAGTGAAACAGAGTCATTGTACTCTGTCTCAATATGCATTCAGTTACCTTAATTTAATGTTCTGCAAACACTTATACTTAGCAAAAATATTTTCCCTCAGTTCATTTGTGAACTTATTGATTTACTTAACAAATTAATCAGTTGCTTAGTTGATGTCTATTTCCTCTACGTGCCTGGTGAAAACAGAGATCTTTCTGTCAGAGTTCTGTTTAATATGTAGAGTCTGCAGCTAAGCCCACTTAAAGTGCAGGTAGTGATCAGTAAACATTGCTTGAATGAATGCATGAATAATAATAGATACTTTATGGTTTAGAAAAAAATGAATGCAAGAAAACAAGTGCTAGGAATAAACTGTTGAGAGGAGGTTGTTTGTTTGTCCCGGCCGCCCAGAACCGAAATAATCACACAGAAACTCTATTAATTAAATCAATGCTTAGACTATTAGCTCTAGCTTCTTATTGGCTAACTCTTACATATTAATTTAACCCATCTCCATTAATCTGTGTATTGCCACATGGCTGTGGCTTACTGGGTAAAGCTCCGTGTGTCTCGGGTGGGGCTACATGAATCTGCCTCCTTTCTTCCAGCATTCAGTTTAGTTTTCACTCCTACCTCTGTTCCCTGCTCAGCCCAAGACAGTTTTTTTATTAACCAATGGTATTCACAGCATACATAGGGAAATCCCACATCAATAAACGCAGTAACTTTTAAAGTATACTTGTTAAATGTAAGTATGCCTCTAGATAGATGTGGTGCTTGTACAATGGCCAGTGTTGCACAACTGAAAACAATGGCCGGACAAGCTGGGATAAACACAGAGCACACTCACCATCTATGTGAAAGGTTATTTTTTCTTTAAAACATTTTCAAATCATTAAGCTCTCTTGATGTTGGCTCTAAAGGTACTGGAAAATTGGAGGGAAAACTAATATTTATTTAGTCTGTAATAATTTAAAACATTAGAAACATCAAGAATGTAGTGGATTGTTTGTTCATAACATCTTACCAGGTTAGTGAATAATGTTTGCCTTCTTGCACTGGTATATCTTACAGGACAGCAAGTCATTCTTTTCTCTTGGTGACCATTGTCATGCTCTCTCAGTTTGGATCAGCATCTGGTTTTGTAGTCTTTTCTGCTTTGTGTGGCAAGAAATGGCCTCTGATTTTCTTTAAGGCAGGGTCATTGTTTTATTACAACTACTTTCCACATGTATGTTAATGAGCTTGCCTTCTTTAAGTTCCTGTGTGAATCTAGAGCCCCTCACATAGCGAGTGAAAGCATTGCCAACGTTCCATTGACCTGGACGTCTTCTATATATTCATTACCTCTGCTCCAGAGTTTTCTTCTGTTACCACCATCTTTTGTTCATGTGCTCCACTGGCTCATGTTGGTTGGCCAATTCCTTTTTTTGGATTATCTGTGCCAAGTGGATTTCTCATGAGGAGACATGAAGGCAACACACTCTGATGTCTGTGTGTGAATTGAATCATGAGTGTTCAGTGGCCAATCACTGATAGACTAAAGAAATACCATGATTGGCCAATGATCAAAACTCCCATTTGTTTGTTATGCAGTGATTAGTGGATGGAAGTGCTAGCTTATACTTAAAGCAAGAAGTTTATAGTTAAAGCAAGAACAAGAGGATATACTGTGTTAGCTGAAATGCAAACTGTACTGTTGAGGGACTAGGGTTATTTACTAGACCATGGAAACTGTCATACATGCATGTTGGCATGAGCAAGTAGCACTGCATAAACCCTAGGCTTTCTCTTGTAACATACATTTTTAAAAAATTATTCAAGTAGGACCAGTTTGCCTGTGATTGCATTTTCATTTGATTTTGTGTGTTTACATGCCATAAGTTGGTGTAATCTTTACTTCACATTTTATTTGATGGTATTTTAGTGGCAATCCCATAGAAGAATATTTTACTTTCACTTTCTTCTCTTCTTGTGTGTGGGTGTATACATTTCTGAACACATGTGCACAGGTATGTGAGGTTGTCATTCATGGGGATGTGGGGAAATGAGAGATTAATGTCAAATTGCTTTTCTCAGCTTCTTCTCCATCTTTTTCCTTTCTTTTTTTCAGAACAGGGTTTCTCTGTATACCCTTGGCTGTCCTGGAACTCTCTCTGTAGCCTAGACTGGCCTTGAACTAAGAGATCTGCCTGCCTTGGCCTTCTAAGTGCTGGGATTAAAGGTGTGTGCCTCCACCACCTGGCTCTTCTTCTCCATCTTATTTTTTGAGACACTGTGTTTCGCTAACCCTGGACTTTCTGATGTAAATGGAGACTGCTTTTTGTTTCCTGGCCATCCGGACCCAAATAATTGCACAAAAACTAGATTAATTACAACACTCTTTGTTCAACAGTCTTTGGTCAATGACTTAGGTATATTCCTAGCTAGCTGTTATATCTTAAATTAACCCATTTCTATTAATCTGTGTATCATCATGAGGCTGTAGCCTACTGGTAAAGCTCTGGCATCTTTCTCCTTCTGCAACTACATGGCATCTCCTTGACTCTACCTTTTTTCTCCCTGCATTCAGTTTAGTTTTCCCCGCCTAGCTCTATTCTGCCCTGCCATAGACCAAAGCAACTTCTTTATTAACCAATGGTAGTAAAACATTCACAGCATGCAGAGGAGAATCTCCCATCAAGAGTAGGCTTGTTTGGGTAGACTGGCTTGTCAGACAGATTTTCATTTGGATGTTGGAAATTCAAAGGCAGTTCCTCATGCTTTTGCAGCAAGAGCCAAGAGCATGAGCCACTGAAACATCTCCCTAGCCTCACTTTTTTTTTAATGCAAAGGAATTGAAATGCAGATCTTGAGTATGCAAAGCAAGAACTCTCTGTTTGAGTCACATCTCCAGCCCCTCCTTTCCACATCACAGTTTATGCCTACATTGTATTTTGTTGTATATTTGTATCATGCTTTATTTAACCAATCCTCTTTTCTTGATATTTAGGATTTACATTTTCCTCAATTATAAACAGTACCATCAATTTTATATTAAAATTTCTGAAATAATGTTTTTGAATAAGTAATTTTAGTAGAAGAACTTCTGGCTTATAAAAATATACTTTCAAAACATTTTTACATACCTCTTAATTTCCCTTTGGAGTGTTTTGTCCGTGGCACTATCACCATGGGATTCTGGAGACTCCTAAATACTGGCCAATGTCATTCTTTTTCCATCACTTCCCTTTTACTAGATAAAACATGCATTATACTTAATAATTAACTTTTATTACTGGATTGACTACTTGTGAATTTGTTTATAGTAATTATATTTTGGTTGATGGCTTAGTCTGTCCTGCATTTCTATAGATTTCATTCAGATGGTAAGGACTTACATGTTTTCCGAGGCTGCTGTTTGACATGTCTATTCCTGAAGATATATAGGAATGATATATGCTCATTTGTATATAATATTTATTGGATTTTGCCATTCTTGGTTTTACTCAGGCATATGGAAGTGTCCATGAGCCTTAGTTTTGCAATGTGGCCTCCAAGTGTTCCTGTTTCTTTCTCTTTAAAGAGAATAACCCCCAATCTGGGTGAATTTCTAGTTAATTTTTCATTACATGATTTCAGGAGACAGGGTCAAAAGAAGCTAGTAGGCCATTCAATTATGTGCTTAAGTGTGTTGGAAAAGATTCTCCCCCCTCCTTTAGATGTAAAATATTTTACTTGGGTTTGTTTTTCAAATGCATCGAAGTGTGACTAAACATTTTTGGATACTGCCATTATATAAAGAAGAGATCCCACCTTGTTAAATATTCCTTCGTCAGCTTTCCCGTTACCCAGTCACAGGCAGCGAGGGACCCGCGAGGGCAGAGGGTGGGCAGGTGCTTGGCCTAGGAATCTCAGGATTGGGGGGCTCTCTTGTCCCTCCCACTGCTCCCTGAAGAAGTGATTGGTTCCAGTTGATTTCTGTCTCATAATTTTGGATAGGTCATCAGTGAGGAGGAGGGGAAGTCATGAGGTTGGACCTCAGCTCATCTGAGGGCTCAAGGTTCTTTCTCATAAACCACACAAGACTAGATAGCTGTCCTTTGAAAAGGACGGAGAGCTGAGATATAGTTAGGCTCAGAGGAACAGAGAGGCTTTGATTTCTCTCTGCCTTGAAGTTGAAGATATAAAGGATGTCTGCTGAAACTGTGGAAGAGAAACCCAATAATCTTGGGGAGAGAGGAAGAACTCGAAGCTACACTTTCCTCTGGGTGTACCAGCCAGTCTTTAACCACAGTATTTTCACTTCTGCAGTCTCACCTGCCGCAGAACGCATCCGGTTCATCTTGGGAGAGGAAGATGACAGTCCGGCGCCTCCTCAGCTCTTCACTGAACTCGATGAGCTGCTGTCTGTGGATGGACAGGAGATGGAGTGGAAGGAGACAGCGAGGTGAGGCATGGCTAACTGACTGTAGTGCTGGCCCAGGGAAGCCCGTGTAGGGCAAATGGATGAGCCATGAGGCCGCCTTCTCTGGCCTTCGCAGCAGGTGGCTAATGGGTGTGATGCTGGGTTGAGAAGAGGGTAATTCTGTTCCTTCCATCCTTGTACATTAGTGTGGATGCAGGGTACCTTTTGTTCATGGCTGGAACATATTTTAGTAACCAGGGCTATATGAATTTGACTTTTGTTGATGAAGAAGTTCATCTCAATTTATAGGCTATTCAGTGGTAAAACATAAAGGCAACAATAAACTCTAGCACCCAAAGGCTGTGACCAAAAACATTTCTAAACATCTCTAGATGTGAACACATCTTGTGTGGTCTTCTGTGACATTGTCTATTCCCAGATAGAAGGGGTACTGTGCACACAATCGTGGTGCTAAGACAAAGATGGTATAATTTCACATAAAGACCCATTATCTTCTAAATTTTTAGCTGAAAGCAAGTAGAAGGTTCAACTGAATTTGAAAGTTAGATGCCTCAGTTTAATTCTATACTCTGTCCCATTAGCTGCATGACCCTTTTTCTTAGGAGAATGAATAATATCGCTTTTTACATATGACATGTATGCAGGTATATAAGATGTATACCATATAGATATACATGAATGCTTGTATGGACACGATTTATAAATTGTTCAGTGCTTTGCAAGTTTCTAAGGTTTTAGGCGTCACAGCAGAGATTTTCTCTCATTGAGACTTAGTTACATATTGCAGACTAAATCTACAATGTGCACTAACCCTCTGCAGCATGCACCTTGACTTGAAGCATCTATAAAGCATCCTCCAAAAGGGCGATCCTGGACCAAAGGCTCTTTCTTACTAGCCCTTTCCATTTGTTCCTTTCTTCGTGGAGTGAGGCTCCCACTCTTTCAGGTTGGGAAGACTTAGTCAGCTGTTGGCTTTGCCCTTCACTAATTAACTCAGCACAGTTGCTAGGCTTCCTGAGCCTCAGTTTCCTCGTCTGCCAAGAGAGGTCTTTCAGGATTCCCTTTTCTCTGGCGCCGCACACATTTTCTCGCTCTAAAATTTCTTTCCTGTGTATGTTTAGTCAGCAGTACCTCTAACAGTCCCTTTGATTCTTCTTTTCATGTTGAAATAGTTGTTCACATTGACGAGAACACAGGGGTGACTTTGTTTTTTGTTTCTTGTCAAATGTTAGCTACCCATTAATTTATGTGACCCCTGGTCTCAGCAAGATGAAGAAATGACAGTTCATGGAGTAGGCAACTCAGTGTTGAAAGAAATGTTTTTAATATTTCTATTTTTGATTCATTTTGGTCCAGAAAGGATGTCAGGTATCACAATCTGAAGCCCAGGCTGGATCTGAGCTCATGGTAATTCTTCTTCTCAGTCTAATCAGTACTGAGATTACAGGATCGAGTTACGATGTTTGGTCATATGGGATTCTGAAGACCAAGATGGCCTTACATTCTTTGCTGTCTTTAAAATCTGCTTTAGGGAAGTTATGTTCCACTGTGGTGATGCAATCCTAGAGAAGCTATGCTTCTATAGTGGAAGGTTGTCCAGGGAAAAAAAGTGTGGATAAGTTCTCCTACTTAGGGATCATTATGATGATTTGTAATTCCATTTCTGATATTGCCTTCCTTATTACATGAATTCAGAGTCAGAGATCACCCAGTCCTGCTTACTCTAGTGTTCTCACAGCCTTGAAGTGCGTGGTTCAGAAAACCTACTCATAAATATGTGTTGATGATTTGACTACTGGGGAAGCGCTTGCTTTAAAAATATTCTTTTGATTTTTTAATTTAACATACCAATTTATAGTGTTCATTATGACCTTTCCATACTGGTATATAATTGTATTTTAATAGAAAAAAATAACTATTTTGAACATAATAGTTTTCTCTTTCTGCTGTGGTCTGTCAAACTCCAGGTACCCAGCATATCAATGCTATAGCTCAGGCGAGGTCCCATGCTTCAAATTTCAAGGGATTTCATCAATATACTGATGGCATCTGCATTTATATCTCTGGACTTCCTCCTTCCTTATTTGATCAGCATTGAGTAATTGGAGGGCTATTAGCAGTCATGTCATTAATGTATGCAGGCCTGTTCCTCCTACAGATTTCTCCATCTCAATATATGATTTCATTGTCTTGGATACTTGAGCCAGAACACCAGAGCTTCTTTGTCTCCTACCTTCCTTATACATGCTTTCTGATCAGTTGGCAGATTTGATTTTACTCTGAAATCCTCAGTATTTCAGCATCTCACCTCATTTCCTGCTCAACACTGCTTTAGGCCAATTTCTGCCTCTGCAAAACCTTCTGATTAGTTGGTCTCTTTAAACCTGCCTTTATTATGCTTATAAACTGTCTACCCTGAGGTGCTTGAGTAGCCTTCTGTCTCTTTTCCTCCAGTTCAGCCTGCTGGAGCCCCAGTGGCCAGTTGTACTGCTCTCTGAGGGACTCTGTCCTTGCCACCTCTCTGTTCCCAGGCACCCATCAGCTATCTACATGACTTGCTTGCTTGCTTACCTCCTTCAGGTTGTAATGCAAATATTGTTGCATTAGGAGCGGCGAGGCTGCATCCCTGGCACGCGGCCGCCTGCATGGCTAGGTTATGCCCGAAAAAATTACACGGAAACTGTATTCTTTCAAACACTGCCTGGCCCGGCTAGTTCCAGTTTCTTATTGGATAGCTCTTACATATTGTTCTAACCCATTTCTAATATTCTGTGTAGCCCACGAGCTGGCTTACCAGGGAGGATCTTAACCTGCGTCTGTCTGGAGCGGGAGAATCATGGCGACTCCCTGACTCAGCTTCTTTTTCCCAGCATCCTGTTCTGTCTACTCCGCCCACCTAATTTTCTGTCCTATGAGGGCCGAGGCAGTTTCTTTATTATTATAAGACCCACCTCCATCAAAATATCACCTGACTTTTGCCTTGAAACATTTCACCTATCCCTCCTATCCTAGGTCTTCTATTGCACTTTTGACCCTTTGCACTTCTTACCGTTTAGCTTCTTATCTACCTTGTTATTGTGTCTTCCTAATAGAGCTAAATCTCTGAGCGGGCAGGGATTTCCACTTATCTTGTTCAGCCCTGTGTTCCTCATACTTAGAACTACCTGCTGCATGGCCTTCCTCCAGGAGCAGGGCGTGAAAGAGTGAGTGTGTGCAGGAACGGAGTCTTGGTTCTCAGCGTGCGGTCCTGTCCGAATTCTGGGGAGAGGTTTGGCAGAAATTATGCTTCTGGGAATATTTTGATTTCCAGTAATCTGTACTGCTTGTGACATACACTGCGTCAGAGGGTTTCTGTAGTGATGTGTGACTTCCATTTGTGATGTGCATTTTCCAGCCACAATAAAATTTCCAACTCCCTATTAAAAGACCTCAAACCTCCCAGATAGAAGAGAGTCATGCGATGGATGATATGGCATGAATAAATTTTTTTTTCTGGCTGAAAAATCTGTTTGATATTTTTTCTTTCCTCTGAAAATTTCAGTTGATAGACAATTGTTTGGGCTGTGTGTGGTAGGGTGCTAGCTACCTGGGGTCTCACAGATGCTAAACAAGGGCTTTACTGCTGGATTCCATGCCCTCCACTGAGTACTGGTGACAGAGGGACACTTTTGTTCCAAAGAGAGCTAACTTTCTAGACTTTTCCAACTAGATGTAGTTTCTAGTGTGGAACTACATACACCCCACAGAACAATTGTCATTCTTTTTCCTCCCCGTTAAGGTTTCCAGTTGGCAGATGATTTTATTTAGCTGAGACAGTGCAAGCTTTGGCATTACTGTGACTTGGGTCCCACTTCAGGAATTTTAGGCTGCTTCTATTCTTCAAATAATGACAATGTTTTTTTTTTTTTTAGTAATAGAGAAGATGGCCCTTGTGAGTCTGAGAAAGTAGAGTAGTTATGAAGCATTAACAGCAAGAGAAGCCTTTACTAGTGTGGGATTTAAAGCGGCATGTAGCTCTGTGGTCTTCCTTGTTACATCCCCCCCCCCCCCCATTTTGTCTTTCCTAGAAGATAAGGGAGAACTTTGAAATTTCCAGTGGCTTTTCCAAATAGTGCAAAGCTGAAGACTATGCAGAGGGTAGGCTTCTCGTGCTGGGAAAGCATGTCTGACTGGTGGAGGTACCGTGTTGGTCTTTTTAGAGGGCATTTTTGGGATGTGTAGACATTAGAAAAATTAACATTGAGTCCGACTGCAGTGATTAAGATGGGATCACTTGAAATGGTGAAGAAGCCTCTATTCCTCATCAAAACCCATTAAAGTAAACTGGGCTTGGTGGACCATGGCTGTAATCCTAGCCCTGGCCGTGGAGTTGAGAATATCAGAAGTTCTTGGCTACATAATGAGTTTGAGGCCAGCCTGGAATAAATGAGATCATGCCACAAAACAAAATAAAACAAAAAAGAACTGAAATCAAAGCGAACAGGAATTGTTAGAATCAGTTCACAGGTGGACAAAGTAGACGGATTAAGGAATCACTCCTAGTCTTGCTTTGAAGATGACCCAAAGTCATGAGGATGGGACGGACTTTTCTTTCTTCTTCCACGTCTTCACTTGAGTTAGGATTAGCCTTTCCAAGGTGACTCCTCATTTTCAGTTTGTCCTTAGTGAGTTTTCAGCGGCCAGTGCTGAACGTCACCAATATGGCATGGTTATATATGTTAAAGATCACCCACACCATGTCATCCAATCTGCTCTGCTAAACCTGATCAAAAAGAAAACCACCACAAGTTCTCAGAAACGTTAGCCAACAGAGGAAAAGGGCATCGGTGTGTCATGTCCAGGGGCACAATGCGAACTAGTGTTTATTTGTGTTTCTGTTGGGCATGCTGACCTAGCTCACCTCTGGGGAACCTCTGAAGGTCATGGCCACAGAACAGCAGCCTGCACCTTACACTGTGAGCTTGCGATCTCCGTAACCCACAGTTCTTTGACTTTCTGTAGCAGACGACTCTGGGAAATTCCCTGGTGGACTGAATTGATTTTTTTCCGTAAGAAGAAGGAGATTTGGGGAATCCAATAACCTATGTAATTAGACATCATTATATTTAGTTAATTATATGCATTGCTTTCCACAGTTGATCTAGAAATTTCTGAACTCTCCTTAAAATAGCATTTATCCCAGGTACACACTAGCCTTGGCTTCTTTTATGTGTAACGAATCACTTTTTAATTAGCACGAAGTTCATTATTATTACGTCCGTAGTTTTACACAGTTGGATTTTATTCTCGTGCAAAGGTCATGAGGATTTTCCACTATGAAACTGGCAGGTTTTAAAGTTGAAGGTCTTGTCTTTACTTAATTATATTTAATCACATGATTGGAAAGTTTCAAAACTCAGTGATTCCCAGTGGGCCTTCTGTTTCTTCAACAAGCGAGTGAAATGCTCTCTGCTTGGCAACCACACAAAGTATATTAAACTGCAGAGTACTTTATCATTATTCTTCTAAGACCTTGGAATAAATAAAATTCACCTCATAAACTGCTCCTCCAAAGGGACAACAGTTTTGTAATTGCATGCATTTAGAAAGCCAACTTCTAAAATTAATTTTCCTGTAGCCTGTCACATACTGACAAAAGAGAGAGAGGAAAAAAAAAGTGAGAAACCCATTACAAGTGTTGGCTATTCATAGTGATTGTGGAGGGTAGACGGAGGCTTTCAGTACATGCCACGGTGAAAGTGTCTGTTTTTTAAAAACATAATTACATGGGCCTAAAGCACCTTTGCAAAATGTCTGGTGCTTGGATAGTCTGAACTTTGGTCTCTGCCTTAGCCTTCTTTTTAATGGATGTCGATTTGAATCGAGGCGTGTTGGCTGTTTGTTTTTCAAGTTTGCCCTTGGTGTGCGAGGCGGGTAGACAGCGCATGCACCCCTTCTGGGATGAAACTATCTACATTCAATTTATATGGCTAAATCGGTAAAACCATCCCCTGAACAACCAGAGCAGTGGATTCGTTTGATAGGCATCCCGCCAGTTCCTGTATGCTGTTAGCTATGTTATGCCGTCATCACAGCATTCAATATTTATGGAAGCTGATGTGGAATAGATGCTAAAATGAGCCACGAGATTGTATACATCCCCTAGAAATAGAACTGTAAACAGTGCGCTACTTGTGAGACTTTGCTTCCTTTCCTCACGGTTATCTTGACCTGTGGGGTTGGTGTGATCCATTGAGATGAGCGATGCTCTTCTGAATGCCCAGCCTAGTTGAAATTTATGATTTCTCATTGCTCTTGAAGAACTTACTCTGATTTCTGCTTAATATAAGCTGCAGAGAGGAAGAAATACAGGGCAGGCCGGAGGAGAGTCAGAAGTTTGCTCCCTTCTGAAAGGTTTACTAAGCTTCTGTTGCTTGGTTAATTGATGATTGTCTTAGTCTACTCAGGCTGCAGTGACAGAATACTGTAGACTAAATATCTGACACATAATAGAAAGTTATTCTTTATTGCTTGGGGGTGTGGGAAGTCTAGGATTAAGGGCTTTGCGGATTTGGTGTATGAGTGATAGGACCCACATGCTCTCGGTGGCACATTCTAGTTGCAAAAGGCCCCACCCTGGGCACTGGAATTTCAGCATATAAAGCTGGGGATGGTGGCTCTATCTAGAATCCCAGCACTTGGGAGACTAAGGTAGAATGGCTGTCCTGAGTTCAAGGCTAGTCTCGACTAATGGAGTATGAATATCTTCAAATTCCAGCCCAACAACAGCAACCACCCCCAAACCAAACCCTCAAGATTTTAACATGCAATTAGAATATTATGTATTTATTTGCTTACTTATATTATATTGTGTGCATGTGTGCATAGCTGTAGGTGTGTCCTCATCATGGTGTGTGTGTATAAGTTGGTATAGTTTTTTTGTGAATTGCTTTTCTCCTTCCACCAAGGGTTCTAGGGGATCAAATTCAAGCTGTCAGGATAGCATAGCAAGTGGTTTTACCTGCTGAGCCTGTTCGTCAGTCCAACATAAACATTTTAGGAGATTCAGATACCACACCACACTACATTACACCACAGCACAGCACAGCACACCATACCACAGCGAAATGAAACAACAACAAAACATAATTCTCAGTCTCCAAGATTTCAACATAGAAATTTTAAAGAACTCAATACTCAGGCCATATCAAGGGAAGGGGCAGAAAACAGCTCCTACTGTAGACGAAGTCATGCTTAGTTTTCTTTCATGGTATAAGGTTCACAATGCAGATTGATGGCAGTTGACGGATGGCAACTCAGTTAAGAGAGATAAAGGGGAAATGAAGCCTGCTTAAAACATTACATGTCATCGTTCCTAGTTTATCTTGGGTTTAAGTTCTGTGATCAAACTATTCCCTCAGCTAGTGAGAAACTCTTAGGGGTACAGAGTAGGCACTCGCTGCGATTTTCACAGAGGGCATCTTTCTAGGTAATGCTGAGCTGATTGTAGACGATGGACACGCCTACCTTCTGGCGTCTGATATGACGTTAAAAATGAAGACACATATAATAAAGTGGTTAATCTAGCGACTACCACAGCATGCTTAAATTTCTGTAAGCCAGCAGGAAAAGATGTTACTCAAAGTTATCAGCATCATAATAAGCATATGATTATTTTAGAAGTAACCCAGTTACTTTAATTGCATAGTATTATTTTGGTTATAACCATACAGTACTGTAAATGTGTGATGTCGTTTTATTCTAGCTCCTTCTATTTCTCTGGAAATAATTCCAACCAAAGAGGAAGAAAATGTCACTTCAGACACATATACGCACGGGGGGGGGGGCAGTATAGATGTTTCCCAATCGCTTTCGAAATGTGTTTCAACTACTTCTGTAGAAACTAGCTGGGTCCAGTTCTGAAGATTTAGAATCTCTTTGGTGATGATGCTGAATTTTAAACTGTTTTAAGAATTTTTATCATTATTTTGAGAATTTCATACCTGAGTCCCATATTTACATCATTTCTACCTGTCCCTTTCCCCCTTCCAGCTCTTCCAGTATCTCCCCTACTCCCTCTCAGCGTCGTGACCTCTTCCTGTCTGTATTTCTGTCCATATTATCCTCCTGAGTCCATCTAGCTATGCTCGGATGTACACGTGACCATGAGCTGACCAAAGCCTAAGTAGCTTTTAAACTCCACAGCTACAAAGGTAAACATTTAAAAGTCAAGGCCACTTGCTGTTTCAGTGGGTGTAATATAATACACAGGGTGAAGGAGACTCTCATAGCTGAGAGGGTGGAGAGAGAAGTTACCATTGACATGTAGGGGGTTTCCTGGCTCTGAGGAGCTTTCCAGGAGGAGTGTAGAGGGATAGGTAAAGTACTTCTGAGTTAGGTGAGTGTTGGCGTGTGATAAAAATCCTCAAGTCTTCTTCCACACTGTGACTGATCTCTTGATCTGTTTCACAGTGGTCCTCTTTAGTGAGTTTCGTCCCCTTCCCAGGGCTTGACTAGAGTCCTATAAATAATCCCTTCTGTGGTGTTTCCTCTGACCCCTGCCCTTTGTTCTCATCCGCAGTGAGGTAGGTGAGTGTTTAGCTTGTTCTAGGAAAATGTTTTTCAATCATTAAACCCTTGGGTTTAAAAAATCTAGGAAAACAGAATTTAACCCCATCATTACCATTCAAGCATCCTTCAGAGGTTTGATGGGAAAGGAAAAGAATGGCTTCCTACTTCCTCTGGCTGCTTAGGATAGACTGTGTGATCTGATCATGCATTATAAAGGCTTCCCAATGTGTTCTTTCCCCGTCAGACTTACATGTCTTTGTTTTCTCTGTTCTCAAAATGTGTACATGTCCTCGAAAGCAGAAGCTGAGGATGAGGGCTGTTTGTCCCACTGCAAAGGTTGCTAGAGAATGTCCTGTTACTCCAGTGAGACCGTGGTCCACTGGACTTTCTCATTTTTAACATGTGGAGCCTGGATTCAAGGGTCAAATCACTATTAGCCTCTCAGTGAGAGTGACGTATGCCAGCTGAGGCAGAGACCTCAAATGCAGACATGGTGAAACATAGTTCTTGCTAAGCATCAACAACTGGGCATTTTTCATTTGAGATAATGTTGGTTCATTGTTGCTCCTCCATCTTACCCACATCTACCCTGTACGGTTCCCACAGAATGTCCACACTGCTGCTAGTTTTATAATTACAGGATTGTGCCACACGGAGGATTTTGAGACGTGTGTTTTTCTCATCTAAAATCACCTTTGTACTCATTCCTAGGGATTTCATGGCTACATGGGAATGGGGCCAGTGCTTTGACTTCTTTTGGTCCAGTTTTTTCTTTCTTTCTTTCTTTCTTTCTTTCTTTCTTTCTTTCTTTCTTTCTTTCTTTCTTTTCTTTCTTTTTTTTTTTTTTTTTTTTGGTTTTNNNTTTTTTGGTTTTTCGAGACAGGGTTTCTCTGTGGCTTTGGAGCCTGTCCTGGAACTAGCTCTGTAGACCAGGCTGGTCTCGAACTCACAGAGATCCGCCTGCTTCTGCCTCCCGAGTGCTGGGATTAAAGGTGTGCGTCACCATCGCCCGGCCTCCAGTTTTTTCTTAAAAGGAGGAACGGTCTTGCCACTCTGTATTCCTGAAGATGACAGAGTTGGTGGCAGGATAATTAACTGTTAAGATCGCACGGGAGGAGACATTCTGGACTTGCTGGTCCGGGCGTGGGCAGGGTTAGTGCTGCCTTCAGGGAAGGTTGCAGTTCTTCTGATTGTCTCCCTAATCTCATCTTCCTAGGTGGATTAAGTTTGAAGAAAAAGTGGAGCAGGGTGGGGAACGATGGAGCAAACCCCATGTAGCCACGCTGTCTCTGCACAGCTTGTTCGAGCTGAGGACCTGTATGGAGAAGGGATCCATCATGCTTGACAGGGAGGCCACGTCTCTCCCACAGCTGGTGGGTGAGTATGCCATTTCTGGTTCCTCTTACTGTCCAGGAATGACCTTGCATGCAGATGCCTGCTAGGGTAAGCAGGGTTGAATGTTCTCTGGAACACTTGTTCTAAGTTCTGTGTCATGAAATGAGTGATTTATAAAAATTTTAACTAATATTGAGAAAAATAGCTTTCAGAAATAATGCCCGTCTCTGGGTTTATTGATACTATTTTGGAATATTCGCTTCTGGATTTATTTGCCAGTCTTCTACTTTGTGCTTTCCTCCCATCCTCTATTTTTTGTTACAACTGAGATCATATTTAATGTGCACAAACATCTTAATTTTTACTTACTAGCATAATTAACATTTTTTGTATATGCATATTGTGTGTGGGGTTCATATGCATACATGTGAATGCGAGGTGGTGTGTGCTTCTGTGTCTGCATGTATGTGAATGAATGTTCCTGTGGAGGCCAAAGGTAAACCCTGCTTTCATTCCTCAGGAGCCAATCCTTAGTTTTGAGTCAGCGTCTCTCCTTGGGCTGGAGCTCACTTTGTAGACCAGGCAGTGGATCACAGTGACCCACCTATCTCTATCTCTCCAGGGCTGGTTTTATAAGTACATGCCACTATGTCTGTTTTTGTTGTTGTTATTGTTGTTTTTTGCTTGTTTTTTTTTTTTTGTTATTTCTTTGTTTTCTTAAACATGTGTTCTGGGGATTGAACTGTTTCTCAGGCTTGCTTACTTACTGAGCCATTACCTCACCTTAGGTTAATATTTTGGAAGAAGCACCCTCTTACCCTCCTATCTTAATTGGCTGTCTGTTCACTAGGTTTTTAGAACTCTGACTGTAACAGAGACCACTCTTTCACTTAGATTTTGTGCACCTCAGTTTCATGATTGTCAGAAGAGAGTTGGCATCTTCGGGAAGAATGAAAATCCTCCACTTCCCGGGCTGGTGTGATGGGGGGTGGTTGTCCAGTCACTTAGCTGTGTGTAGAGTGATGTCGTGGGGCAGGATGCCAGCAGTGCCTTATGGGCTGGTGACTGAGTCGTCACGTTGGCACAGGGCATCATTCATATCACCAGACCCTGTGGAATTTCTCTGCATGAAATTTCACCATTTGTTCCTTCCACTGAGCGTATGTTTTGCTCTCTATGAAAAAAAAGGTCTTTGGAAGGAGTTGTATATTTGTTCCGTGTGATACTGAGTGGTTTCACAGGAAGAATGCTGGGATTACAGTGGGCAGCTTTAACTAACATCTTCCTCTACTATTGTGGACAATCATGGTCCAAAACACATTCTTTACCACTCTTGGAGACGTGGTTTCCTCATCTGTGAAGATAGTAGGAAGGTGCATGCCTGAGTTCCCTTTCCTGGTGCTATGATTAAAAAACTTTGATAAAAGCGACTTAAGGCAAAAGGTTTCTTTTAACCCATGATTCCAGGCTGTAGCCCGTCCTAGCCGCAAAGTCGCCAAGGCAGCAGCCCCAGAGAACTGCCCATATTACATATGTGCTCAGGAATGGAGAGCCGGGAACACATGCACGCTTGAGCTCAGCTTGCCTTCTTTTTGTCTAATCTAGGACCCAGATCCACAGAGTGATGCTGTCTGCTGTTAGGCTGGGACTTGCTACATTAGTGGATGTAACCAAAACTGCCTCCCACAGACGTGTGCACAGGTTCATCTAATCCAGGTGGCCCCTGCTAGAGATGCCCATCCTAGGTGATTCTAGACTGTGTCTGGTTGACGGTGGGAAGTGACCATTGCCGTGTACCTCTCAGAGTGGTTAGGAAATTTAAGGTCACCAGACCTGCTGGCTGCCGGCTTTTCCCTCAGTGTAGTTAGCTACCTAGATTTTCCTACATGTTACTTATCAGATCACAACTTGAAGACTTTTGAGTCTGGCAGGTAGATTCTTGGGGATTTCATGAGCAGAAAGAAAAATCCCAAAGAGTATGGACTGAAGAGACGGAAATAGTAGAACATTCATTCATTCATTTATTCATCCATTTGTTTGTTTACTTTTATATTTTTGCTGGTCTTGGAGCCGATCAAGGGGGATGAGTTCCTTTTTTCTGTGAAGCTGAACTTTTCTGTTGTGATCTTCAGTTCCAAACTGACCTATCTTAGGAAAGAGTTCCTGGTCTCTAGCAACTCTTTGCCTCTGTACATAGCGGAAGACAGAGTCCCACAATTAATCAGACCCTCTTTAGCCAATGATCAAAAAGAGAAGATCTGACATCTACTGTATTTAAAAAGTTTTACTGAGTATTTGATATTCTTGCTTAATTTCCCATAACTTTTTATTATTGGCTTCAGACTCTTCTAACCTCCATGCATTTACTTTAAACATTGTCATTTCATGTTAAAATTAGATCCCACTAGGTCACTTTGAGGCATCATCACTCACTAACATGTTTGCTCCGCAGTCCCCAGAGCAAGGAGGCAGAGTGCCAGTGTTATCAATTCTGGCACTGATAATACAGAAAAACAGTTCAGAGGCAAACCACACATCATGGGCAAAACAAAGGGAGGAAAAAAAGGCCAGCCCTGCCGAAGAGGACACAGAGCTTGCTTAGGAGAACACAGCCCCAATAGAGAAATGAAAATCCTCCAACAGAATAAAAACCCGTGGAGACTAAAATATGACCTGGGCAAAGCCTTTATTTAATTTTCAACGACAGAGGCAGCACAGTAATTTGGAGAGTTATAATGATTATTTTGTGATTAGGAAGAGCTCTTCCTAGCGGAGGATGAAGTAGAGTAGCCATATTCCACATAAGCCGGGACATAGGACAGCTACACGCTCCCCAGGCTCATGTTATATTTCCTCTCAGTAGCCCAGTTTTACTCCTGAATGTGGGAAGAAGAAGTAATAGCAAATGTGATCATACACAACAAATCGCTTGATTTCCAGCCCTCCTTGTGGTCCGCCTGCTATTGCTCCTCACCACCTGCCCAGAGAGGATGACCTCTGCAGGTCATGGGCAGTGGTGTGGGGCTGGACAGGGTGTGAGCTGGGGTCGTTCTTACCTTCAAGTCAGCTTCCTTATGAGTCTCCCAGGACCTCTCTGTGGTTTGAAGAGTGTGTGTGTGTGTGTGTGTGTGTGTGTGTGTGTGGCATCCCTATATATTTTAATAGAAAGATTTGTCTTTGAAGCATGACACAAGACGAGACACAATCTCCAGGGATTATTTTAGTAGGTTTATTATTGGCACCGCCATTGTAATCCTCCATTTAAAGGGTGTCATTCACACATGAAGGCAAGTTCATGGAATTCTCTTCCACTCTTAAGTTTATAAAAAAAAAAAACAGCTGAAATCCATTTCAGGTGTTCAGCACAATGCGAAATGGATGAGAAAATGTAGCTCTATTTTTGGAGCTCATTCATGCATCTATACCTCTAAAGGCAGCCCGAGCTCTTCTGTCTATCGGCAGATGTGTGAGTCCTAATGTTTCTTTTTTTTTCTTTTCCCTAAAACCCCACATTTTATGCTTTTCAAATTTATATTGATTGTTATTTATAATCATAAGATTAATATATGTTCATTTAAAAAATAGTCTGTAAGAAGCTTCACTACAAAAATAAAACCTCCCGAATTTTACCACTAAAGTAAAACCTTTCCTAATCTAGTTTTGTCTGTCATCTCCATAGGTTTCCTATGTAACTCTGTTTATCCACCCAAAGTGGAATTACAGTTCCTCATTTGCGTGTGTGTGTCTGCCTTGTAACGCTCGGGTTATAGGCATGCACAGACCTGCTGGGCTTTTTACGTCCATGTCAGGACTTGAACTCGGGTCTTTGTGCTTGCAGAACTAGCACTCTTACCCGCTGAGCCGTCTCTCCAGCCCATGGCTCATCCTTTTAATTTGTAATTGCTTAAAGATAAAAACATCAATATCAATATAAGTAAAACATAATAGCTGTAAAATAATCTTTTCAGGCACTTGGGTGGCCTTTTAGTTGTTATTATAAAGAAAAGTGCATATTTTTGTTATAGTTTTGTAAAATTGTTTGATTAGTATGGAGTTCCAGTTGTAGAAGATTCAAAGGTTTTGAACGTACTGGAAGGCTTTGGTATGCTTTCGGCAAATGTCAGCACCGTCAGGGAGTGGCTGTGACGTGCGTCTTTCACACGGGGACAGGGACAGATGATTTGGATAGACCTAGCAGATGTCTCTATTCGCATACATTTATTTGCATTATCTTTGTTAATTTGAAGCTAAGACATGTATTTGGCCCTCGAGCCCCTTCTCTGAATGCTTCATGTCCTCTTTTCCGTCTTCCATGGTCTGCCCACCTTTCTGTTGTTTCGCAAACGCTCCACGTGGGTCGCCTCTCTCTCTGCCTAGAGCTTGCTTTTTAAGAAACTACCTTCAATTTTTTTCTTTTTGAGGCAGAGCCTGGCTGTGCAGCCCAGCGTCAAGCTGGCTTTGAACTCACTTTGTAGCTCATTGCTGCCAGGAAACTCACAGTTTTTCAGCCTCAGCTTCCCAAGTGTTAGCATGTCAGCCAGGCCCAAGTGTGCCCGGTGGGCTTCCTTTTTAAATATGGAGACTACTGTGTCAAGTGTAGAAAGACCTCAAATGTGCATCGCCTACCCTGCTTTTAGTTAGGGCTCTGTCTCTAATTAGTCTATATGGGGGGGGGGGGTCAGTCACTTCTTTCCTCTTCTCTCACCTGTGTCATGAGAGCTGAACTCGATGCTCCCAAGGTCTCTTTGAGTTGTTACTATGTAGCCTTGGTTCATTTTCTCGCAGTTGGTAGTGTCTGTGGGAGCTGCACACGGAACACTTCACTTCAGTGTAGTTGTAAAAGGCACTGCCCCCACTTCCCTTTGAAAGGGTTTGTAGTAGATGCTGAAAGAGACCCTGTTACGCGGGCCATTTTTATGGAAGCTTAATGAAGGCCATCAGCCACCCAGTTGTTTTAACCTGTCTAACTCGCGGTTCCCAGGCGTGAGGAACAGAGGGCAGGCTGTGCATGCATAGGCATCGAGAAGCCTTGCCAGGAAGCCTAGATAAGAAATGCTTTCATCCACAGCCCTGGCATTCGAAGCAGCGAGCGTTTGGTAGCACTCGCAGCAGACACGTTGGGGCTGTGATTTTTGTGGTTCTTCTGTAAATGGACTTGCCATGTGGAATGGGACTTGCAGGGGAAGTAGAGAGTTGTGGACTAAAGGTACTTAGTTTCCTAACTGTGGAACAGAGAGCTAATTGTACCTCCAGGGTCATTCTCAGGCTAACACTGAGTGGGGTTTGTGTGGTTCAAAATACCCAGCCCCGAAGGCCACTTTCAAATCAAAACGCTCACAGGAGAAACTTCCTGCCTCCTCCGGGTCCCTTACCAAGTGGTTCACGTTCTGTAATTTAGGGCCTCTATGCTAGGCCATTGGTGGAAAATCCTTGATTTAGCCTCCTCTTGGCTTACAAATGGCTGACTGTCCACTGTGTAATCTGCTGACTTCTAGAGGTAGACTGAGGCTGAGTGACCGACCGTGCAAAGGTGCCAGTGAGCTCGTGTGGACGCCCGCACCTTCTCTTCAGAGCAGCATTCCCAAGGACTGCTTGTTGACCTAACCCCCACTGATTTTCCTGTCAGACTTCTGCATAGGAACAGAAGTGGCTCCCTTTTACACGCTGCTGAGTTTCCCGAGGGGAAGGTCGCAGTGAAGAGCCCCGCCCTGCACACCTCATACAGATTCTGCGTGTGTTACACTGAGTGGGGGCAGAGATTAGGATAGCATGCACAGGCTTCGAGTATGCTGTGGATGTGCCGGCCTGTGAGAAACAAGATTTGTTTTCTATTGGAATAAGATTTGGTGCGCGTGCATGCATGCGTATGTGTGTGCTTGCGTCTCTCATTGAACCAGTGGGGGCTTTGACTGTTTTCACCACGTTCCCTAACGGCCCAGGTTCCAGGTGGACAGCACTCTACACGTGGCTTTTACGTGAACGCCCTGGATCCAAACTCACGCCTTCCTGCTTGCGCAGCGAAGCCCTTTACCACCTGAGCCATCTTCCTCGGCCCCCAAAGCCATTCTCTTTTAAAAGTTAGAACAATAAAGGGTTAATAGAAGCAATTTTATGATTTTTTATTTTTGGTAGTAAAACTAAGATATTTAAACTTCCTAAACCAATATTAGTAAGGCTGTGTTTGAAAACCATCCAGGGAGCAGAATGGCAAGGTTTTATTGGAGTTGACCAGGCAGATGAAGTCTAACCAGGGTATAGTTTTGTAACTTGGTCTTTCCTTCATTAGTTGTTCTGATGTAGGGAAAGGTGTGTTAAAGAAAATATAACTTAGAAGAATGGGGGAAATAGACTTTAAAACGCACCCCTCATGATTTTACAGTGCACAGCTTCTTTCTTTTCATACCTTTGATATTTCTGATTATGTAATGCAGGACATGAAAATTTGAACCTTACTTTTTTAAATTGAAGAATGAAATGTGTTGCTCTGAGAAATTTTGACTTAGGGGAATTTAGAATAACTGAGCTAGTAAGAATAAAAAAAGAAATTAAGACAGTTCTGTGGTTCTAAAGACAATTAATGCTGGAACAGTTAGAATTCTCTCATTAAGGCCAGCAGTCGGTCCCTTCATCTGAAGTGGGAAGCTGGGGTTTTGGAAAGGAATGTATTGATGTTAAATTTGGTGGTGACGTCCCCAAAGCTAGAGGGAAACTTAGCTTCGTGGTTTGGTGTCCTGACGTTGGCTTCACTTTGCTTCCATATCAGAGATGATTGCTGACCACCAGATCGAGACAGGCCTACTGAAGCCTGACCTTAAGGATAAGGTCACGTACACGTTGCTTCGGAAACACCGACATCAAACCAAGAAATCCAACCTCCGGTCCCTGGCTGACATCGGGAAGACGGTCTCCAGTGCAAGTAGGATGTTTACCAACCCTGATAATGGTAATGCAAAGCCCGCCCACCGGCGGCTGCTTTCTCTTCGTGAGCCACCCACCTTTGCTCCATCTCTAAGAATCCTTTCTTCCTCTTCCTAAGGCTTTTCTCAAGGTCACGTGACACAGTCATTTCATGGTCCTTTTCATCCAACTGAGCAGGTGTGCAATCTTGCTGGAAAGGTTTCACTGGGGCTGTAGGTTACAAAGCGACAGTGCTTGGCTTCTCCTCCGTGGTTGACTGAAATACTTACTAATAACTCTGTGGGGAAACAACTGAGTATTTCAGAAGAATCCACAAGCTCGCAGGGCATATGTCTTCAAAATCACGTTCAACAGCTAGGAGTATCTAATAAAATATGATACATACTTTGAAATATCATATAACAACATTTTTTGCTTTAAGATGATTGTGTCTAATTTATTAGTATTCATCCTATTACTGTGTGACTCAACATTTTTACCACTTGAAAAGGCAGTTGATTTTTTTGATAAATAATAATCATATTCAAATGGAAGTATAATTATTCAAGATAGAATATTAGTTCATTATATAACAATAATTCCTGTTACATTTATTGCATTTACCACAATTTCTTGCAAAGTGCCTATTTTTGGCATCATTGCCATCATTGGTAATAAATTTCCAGTGTTTGGGTGCGGTCTGAGGAGGTGGAAGCAAGTTTCCATGAAGTACGGGAAACGAAGATGTGGTGGCCAGAGTCGAGTTAGCATTGGGCTGGGAGAACCAGCTCTGGACTCTGCCGCCATCGAGTCTTCTCAGCATTACGAGTGGGAGAAACTGCAACTCAGGAGAGTCACTTGATATTTCAGGATACCATAGAATGTGTTCTCAGGCACAGGGTAGGTGTGAATGATTATAGCAAGTGAATTTGATCCTAGCCACTCTGTATTCAAAAATGTGATTTTTCTCACTTAATATTAAAAGCCAATGGTTTGAAGACTGATTAATTAAACAAAATTTTATATTTTTAAGCTCAAACTGTCTATAAAATAATTAAAATATAAATGCTTTCAGTAAAATATGAGAGAGAGAGAGAGAAACTAATTTAAATTACTTCTGCTATAATTTGTTGCTTCTACTGTTCCTGCTGTTGACAGAGAATCCTTAGGTTTTCTATGCCCATTGATTTGTTTTTGAAGAAAACCTTGTTCAGTGGCTGGCAGTGCCGTTGCTCCAGCAGGCTCTTTCAATTCATCTTACAAGCATTTCATTTTAACCAGCACGTGTATTTGCAACTATGGCAGTTATTTCAGATCTCTCTCTCTCTCTCTTTCTCTCTCTCTCTCTCTCTCTCTCTCTCTCTCTCTCTCTCTCTCTCTCTCTCCTCAAGCAATAATCTTTTTTTCTCCTCATAAAAAACTCACAACTCCAAGAGTTAGGGGTTTTGTTTGTTTTAAGTCATTGCATTAGTAGTAGTACACAGAGGTCAGAAAATTCACTGTGTTCACATGTTGCGTGAGGAGCGATGGCTGCCAGGGTGTTCTATTTCCAGAAGGGTAAATTGTCCTTTGCATGCACTACTTACAGAGCAGAAACTAGAAAGAGATGAGTCTCTGCAGCCCTCCTTTTGGAGAAGGTATCTGGGTGGGAGGTGCAATGAATGAGCTGAGATTGCTCCTTCTTCACCTCTTCATCCTCATTAGATCCCGAACTTTAGAGGAAGCTGACCTTGTCTTCATCATTCACCTCTCATTTGTGCAGTGTGGTACACACAGGGCCGCAAGCAAATGGGAAAGGGCAGGTGGTTCTTTTTTGCCTCTTCCAGTGATCAGCCCACACCCTGAAGCATAGGATACGATTAGTTTGTTTCAAAGCTGTTATTATTGGCCTTTATGTTAGCTGACTCTTTAAATATCACAGGCAAGATTTGGCTTTGCGAGATCCTACAGCAGTGAGCTACACGTGCCTCCAAGGTACGTGATCATAAATCATCGGCTGGCAAGCTTTTGGCTTTCTACAGATGCTCGTTCTTACCCTGCAAGTTTGCACAGTTACTTTTCTGTCTGAGGGCTTAATCACTTAATATACCTAAGAACTGTGTAATGTTCTTTGATTAAACATCTAAAGTAAGGAATTATATACCTGTCACTATGCTTTTAATAAACAAAAATCTCAGAGCGACTGTAGTTGGAGCTGGGTCGTAATATCCGCAGGCCTAGTAAATGTAAATCACCTTAGCCTTAAATATAGAGCTAGACCCTGTGGCAGAAACTGCTCTGACTATGCCAGCAACCGCATGACAGATAGCTGCATGGCATGGAGACACTTAAGTCAGGGGTTGTTTTAGTTCCCAGTGGTGTCCAGAGTCAGTTCCCATCTACTCCCAAGAACCAACTGAGGGGAGAGTCTGCCAGCAGTTTGTTATATGCAACGACTGTTAAATCACATTAGAATCCAATTAAATAATTATATTAAAAGCAATGGCACCAATTGCTCAGAATGCATGACTTCCTATTTGTTTGATGGCAGTTGAGTCAATCACTTGAGGTGATTTCCACCCATGAAATCACGTGAGAGTGCCGCATCTCATCCCATCATGCACTGGGTCCCAGTGTTGACTCCCGTGGCTTCAGGCAAGCAGTTGAAATCTGCTACAAGGTAACTTTCACACTTTAGAGACCAACACAGCTACCAACCAGGACCTGCTTTATTATTGTTCTAGTTGTTTCTAAACTTCAAAATAACGGTGAGGAAAATTTTAACTATACAGATTAAACTCAAAGCATGTATTTAGTGCATATAGCTTCTAAGATTAAGAAGACTGTTTTGGTAGTTAAAACTCCTATTTGGTTCAGTAGAGGAGCGTCTGAGACACCAGTGATGAACAAGTGAGACCTGAAACACCTATTTGTTGTTTTGTTTTTGTCTTATTAGCATGCATGACACTATAATCAAATGTTCAGTCTGATTCACATCATGAGTCCCTCCCTCCCTCCCTCCCTCCCTCCCTCCCTTCCTTTTTTCCTTCCTTCCTTCCTTCCTTCCTTCCTTCCTTCCTTCCTTCCTTCCTTCCTTCCTTCCTTCCTTCCTCTCTTCCTTCCTTTGGTTCATTATCATGAACTCATTTTTAATTAGTAAACATTTACTTATTTTCCCTACCATAGAATTAGAAAAGTAGTGTAGTTCTTTTTGATGGCTGTAAACAGACATAATGAAAAATTCAGTGAGATACATGAGGGCTTCGAATGGGAGCTGGCCCTTAGCAATCAATCCCTCAACAAATGCATTCAGTTATAGGCGAGGTGTTTAAGCATAACTGTGCAGTATAGATTTTGTAGTAATAGCAATGTCTTCTGCGCTGTTCAGTAGTTTCCTCTTCAGGAAGAAACTTGTAGGAATAATTTTTATGTATTTCTTCAGACTCTTTGGTGAGTGGTATCGACACCCACTGTGTGACAATAGGAGGGGGAGAGGCTGGTTCTCCTCATAGTCTGAACCTTCCTTGCTTTTGCTTAGATGGCTGTAAAAGGAATCCTGACCCACCTTAGGCATCCAAGGTAAGGACAAGAACTGCAACTGGCAGTGAGGAGCTGGTGAAGGTGGGAGCCCCCCCCCCCCCAGGAGGGCGACTGGCTCCTGAGGCCCACAGCGCTTTCCTTTTGTTTTCGATGGTGCCCCAGGGCCTCTTACTTATTTGTAGTGAACCACAGCCTACTGCTTAACACATCACTGGGCTTCACTTTCAGTCACTGCCTTTCCTGCCCTCCTCTTTACCCAGGTATGCAAAATGTAATCAACGGGTCCTCCCAACTTGGTACAGTTCTGGCTTGTGCATCCGGACACTTTCGAGGTTTTCTACCAGGCAGGAAGATGATACCTAGTTCTTTCCCATGTAGCCATGTAGCTGCTTTGACTTGAGCACAGAAAAGCTTGGGGTATTTAAAAACCGTGTGTTGTTATTACACACTGGAACCTGGGCGGTTGTAACAGTGCAGAACAATCAACAAGGAGAAGTCATGGCTTTTGCTGTGCTTTGTACTTCTAAGATCCAGAAACTTAGTCAGGCCTTTACTGCTTTGAATCTGGCTTGAGCTTAGGCCACTTGAACTATGTGGTGTGGATATTAGATCAGGCTGCCTTGACACTGGTGTGAATTAGCTCTGGCTGGGACTACAGCCAGGTTTGGCAGCTTTCGTGGTCCCTTTAGTCATTCTTTGCTTTTGCTCTGGGCTTTGGAATCTAATTTTCCCAGTTGTCTTTAGGTGCCCCGTTCTATCTCCCACCTCCCTCTAGCATGCTGTTGGATTCAGGCATGATCCCTGTAGCACCAGACAGGGCAAGCACTTCCCAGCCCTCCCTCAAAGATTCTGCTCCTCTGAAGTGGGCTTCATGCTTACCTGGTTCTGAGATGGTCAGGTGGCGTCTCGTATCCTTAGGCCTGTATTGCTCTCTGATGAGCATGGCATTCCAGGTGCTTCTCTGAATTCAGCCAGCTCCTTCCAAAGCCCAGCAGCACATATCCATCTGTTTGCTTCTGGACCCTCATTTGCTATGCATTTGCAGAGCACGGACGAGTGTCTTGGCCAGAGCTCAACGAAATGACGCTCTTGCTAGCCTGATATTAGCAGTTGCTAGCAAAGGAGCTGAGTGAAGTCGTCTTCTAATGATGGCAGCCCATGTGGCTGTTCCTGCTAATATATTTCTAACGCGTCCGCAAGGCGCCAGTTTAATTCCTTTCCCCCAGGTCTTCCAGATCGGTAATACTCAAACTTTTATCATCCCATCTTCGCACTTACTAGTCCATCTACACTGCATGACAACGAGAAGTCAGGCTTAGGAGTAGAACACATTGGATCTTTAGGCCTCCTCTGGGCCTATTTCATAATCTTCTTGAAGATATGATGCCATCTCTTCCAAAGGTTTTATTTCAGGCCTCACTCATATTTAGTAGATAAATGGTTTTGAAAGTTATATAATGACCTTGAGTCTTGTTATAATGTGTAACATAGGGTAATAATGTGTTATTATGTTTGTGTCTCCAGGAG